TATTAGTCATCCTACTTGGGAACATTTTATTTACAGAAAATGTGGTCTTCTAAAAGTAAAATACAACACAGAAAGGACAGAGAGGTTAAAGATATTGAACAAATGAAGCTCAGCGTAAGTTCAACCAGGAAGACCGTCTCTACTCTTCATTTACTATTCCGATGTAACTACTCTCTCTCCTCTCAATAAGTGATCGGGGGCGTCACTCTCCAGCTTAACCAATCACTTCGCTCTATTCCCAAGAGCCTATCATAGCGCTCTGCCAAACCTTTTAAATCTGCTCTCCCCCCTCTGACAGCTGTCATTTCAGGTGACTCAACGCAACCCTCCTCCACCCCTTTTCACCTCCCGTCCCTCTGAATTTAGGGTCAAGCTAAGCCCCTCCTCTTCAGACCGACCCCAACTATCCATTCACCACCACCAGTGTCTAGACCCCGGGGGGGTTTCATCGGATCGGTTCTACCCTCCCGAATGATACTTCCTGCACAACGGGGCCTAATCGCCAAAATCACCATTACATTCATTTGTGTATCTCTGCAATAAATATGTATTCTTACATCAAAACCGTCTCTCCTGATTGAAGTGGGATACACACATTAGCCTTGATCAAATGTGTTTATGCAAATTGCCTTTAAGCTGAATATGATGACATGAGCAGCCCTTCAGTGTGGTTGATGTTCTCTGATCCATGCTCTTTTAAAGCCCCGGGGCTTGCTGTTGTCCCTTCTAGTTAAAAGCAGAGTGACCGTTGACATTTCAAAAACATTTGTTGGTGTAGAATTGTGAATAAATGAATTTCTCCTCACAGAGGGGCCACAGCCTCAGCCTGCAGGACCACTAGTTTAGTCATTTTCTTTGAAATGTGCTCTTCTGTGTTTTCTTTCTCTCCCAGTGCATTTCTATCCCCCTTGTTTGATCCCCCCCCTTCTTGCTTTACACATCATGTCCACTCTCCCTCTGGCCGCCCCACCACGCATCTCTCCCTGTTTCCTGCTCATGCCCAGACGAGGGCGTAGAGGCTAATCCTGGCTCTGAGGCCCAGTGAGCTCCGCCGGCTCTCCTCCTTCTACATTCTGTCAGGATCCATTTGGTCTGACACTCTCGCAGGCTGTCGTTATGGACACCAGAGAGCAGGGTGGTACTTTTGACCTCTTTGTGTGAGGAATTAGTCAGCAGCCTATCTCTGAATCACTGCTTGAAAAAACCCTCAGACCTGCCAACACATATATACATATCACACCCTCATAGAGCAGATGTTCAAAAATTGGAGATTCTGTAAAAACCACTCAAATGTTTTCATCTAAAATTCAGTTATGTGCTTCAAAGCAGAGGTTACATACAAAAAGATTTGGACTTGATTAAAAAGATCTGTAGGGGAGTACTGGCTACGCACAGAAGGACAGTAATACAATAAGCTGCATCTTTAATGCAATAAGACTCTGGCTGGAGATATTGCGTATCTTTTCTCAGCCCAGAATGTTATTAAAGAGCTACAGAAAAAGTATTTACATGACTTAAGTTGACCCTTGTGCTATAGGGGACCAGAAGAACAAACAAACAAGAGAGCAGTGGGGCTTGGTAGGAAGGAATACGCATGGCTTTTCTAGCTAAATAGACCATCCCTTGACCATTCGAGACCATTCCTGGCCTATGAGGCGTAGCAGACTGGGACACATCTAAAGCGCATAAATAAATAAAGAGTTGAGGCAAGCGACTGCAGGCCAGGTTTCCGTGATTCTATTCTAAACTTCCACACCCACAGATAGCACTGGAAAATAAATTCAGTCCGGTCAACAAAAAAAGTCACAAAAGGAGTGTTTTTCTGCTGGTAAAAAAAGGAAAATCTGCCAGACGTAAGTCATGTGTGGGTGGTGGGTGGTTCGGTCTTGGGAGCAAGTTTTAACACATTGCATACAATATAAACAATAATTGATCTTTCCAAATCCATATACATTTGTTATGGAGCTAAAAACAAAAACCAAATTCTCATTAACGAAACACAAGGGAGGTTTTAGTACATATAAAATGACCTTTACCTCAAGCTCTGCATAAATATTCCTTGGATCAGAGACACCCACATCAGCACAATGTGCTGGCTGAAGAGCGTGGGCTTACAGGGAAACTGCTCGCTAACTTTAGCTGTCTTCTGGTGCAAAAAGGTAGACTGGCCCTTAAGCAAAACATAGATACAGTACTTGTATATATACTGTATTCACACATATTCTCTAAAGTAACTGTGTTCAATCTTCTCTCATCCCTGGGCACTCAAAACATCCTTATTGAAAGAATACAAGTTGTCAAAGTGTTAACAAAAATATACACACATACAAATTAATTAAAGAAACATGTTCTTAGAAACCTCTTGACAGCGGCCACCTGCTCCTATTACAGATGGACGGAAATGTAATATCCTGGGGTTGTCAACCCTGCTCAGCCTCTATGGTAATGACTGTATTGCGACGGACAGTGGCCAGACATCTGCAGGTGCACTGAGTTATTTATAAGAAAAGTCTGTGTGAAAACAATAATAGAATGGTGCAGTGATGACGTCTTTTATAGGCTGACCCGAAAGTTAGCAACGCAAGGGGTCCCTCGACAGAAAGCAATGGGATTCTTTTGCTACATATTGGAATATTGCAGAAAAATAAGCTCTGTTGCAACACATGTTTATGAGACATAACACATTTCACTCATCAGGATAATGTTAACCAATAAGGACCACTTTGTGATTTGTGAGACGTAATCTGATCGCCAGAAGAAAAAAAGTGAACGTTAGGCAATAAACAAACCACATCACGGTCCCATGGCTGCACATCACCACCACAAAGAGAAAGGCATGATGACGTTCAGTAGTTTATTTATTCACTTGTTAGCAACCACTGTTTTTTATGACATGTAGAAGCTTTTGATATTCACGATTGGGGTATTTACTGACGTATTTCATGTCGTAGAACAAAATGTGAAAAACTTGTGTTAACCACAGACCTCATTTCAGGCATCTAACCATAAATATGTTTAAAAAAACATAGATCTTTGGATGAGGGAACCGGAACTGTTAAAATGCAAACTTATTTTGGGTTTTAGGACTCATTCCTGCACCACTCTATGTCACTAACTGAAAGAGATTTTCTGAGGAGTCTGCATTGAAACACATATTCATATAGCTCAATGACAGAAGGAGAATAACTTCTTTCAACAAACTGTCTTTCAAGTTTGCAAATCTATCATCTCCCTCTGTTAAATATTTATATATATAACTGGGAGTTTGTGTGTTGTCTTAGTGGGGGGTGCCTAATTATGACACTACTTGCAGAGACTCCAGTCTCAAAGCTTTCAGGCATTGTGTTCTCCTCAGATAATAGACATCCAGACAGAACTCCTGCTGCAGCAGCTATAATGAGTCCTCTTCTAGACCTCCCCTCCTTCCGTGACTCCCTCGTCTCCCCCTCTCTCCGCCTGTCTGTCTGTCCCACAGCCCCAATGGAACCAGAGCTTTGTCTGGGGATTTTCACAAAGCACTCGCCGGATATATCGAATGACAACTAGCCATCTATTTGAGGATAATAGGGCCCACTTATGCCGGAGCAGATAATGTACATGTTGACAACAAACACAAATATTCCTCTGACAACTGGAGAGGCAGGCTTAGGTGATGCTGTATGATAACTTGCTTTTATCTGTAGCGGCAAAGCATGTCGTGTCAATGACAGACAAAAAAGTCTTGCTTGTCCTTAGATTCAAAGCTAAAGTACTGGAGGTGAGTTTGAGTGTTACAAACTGACGCACGGACTGTGTGATTAGATTAAACAGGAGCACTTAATGTATCTAATTCTGTCTCAATGCATGAGAACATTATTTCTTCCAAGTTGGACAGTGGCTGACAGTTTAAGGCCATTGAGTGTTGAGAATCTGGGGCACAGAATCCATCCATCTATACAGTGTGAGACTTTGTTTTAAGTAACAGGGATGTCAGTAGCAGAGGTGTACTGATGAACATTGTCCAGGACAGCACTTCAAAAGTTTCCTATGTATGTATTACGTAAAAAGACCAAGGCATCACAAACTTAAGAGATTGATTGCTTTAACTTTGAATGTGGGCTAGTGTGTGTCTGTATGTGTGTGTATCATGGGACACAACTTTTTTTAGGACCAATCTGCCTGCTCCTTGAGCTTCCAACAATAGGGAACAGTGAGAGAAGTGACTGATGGGGGAGGAGATGAGGAGAAAAGGAGATAATTAGAGAGGTGACAGAATGGAGGACAAACCTAATGTGATTTTTTTGGCAGGGATTTAGCTGGGTAAAAAAAAGGAAAAAAGAATCTCTGCAGGAATATGGTTATGCTTTTATAATTGGAAACAAGTGTCTGTGAAGCAAATTACAAGCCAAAAGCCAAAAATCATCTGATGAGATAGGGAGCAGAGAGGAGTGAAAATGGTAGTGCGATGCAGTTAAAGAGATGAATATATCGGAGGAGGGGGGTTTCCATTCAGAGCGGCGGGGCCTCAAAGTCAATCTTCATCAGCAATCCCATCTTTGTGTGGAGCTCCGGCTACAGCGGGAGGGGGAGGAGGAGGAGCAGCAGACCAGAAAGATCAAAGCCAACTAAAAGTGAGGATCAAAACTGAACTATTACTAGAGCCTTACAGAAGAATAATGCGTGGGCTACTATACCTGCACGCACAAGTAATCGGCCTTTGCTTTGATGGTATTAAATGTTGCCCCGGTGTTAAACTGGGGCCGTGAGTCTGGCAGGGAAGAGGACGGGTGCACGCTTTTGGGGAGAAGGGAGGATGGAGGAAGGATGTTCATTTAAGTTGGCAAATAATTAAGGCTAAACGACCCTTATGGCTCCATGGGTAGCAAGAGGGAGAGACAGAGTTCAGGAGTGGAGGAGACATGAGGTGACTCTGAATATAGGCTTTCTGGCTATATTGCCTTAAGCCACAGCTGAGGGCTGAAAAAAAAGCATTTGATAATGAAGTGTGAAAGGGAACTTACGACAGCCTTTCTCATCACTCTTGTCAAAGCAGTCAGGTAATCCGTCGCACTGCCACCCGCCTGGGACACACTTCCCATCCCTGCACATGAAGATTCCAGGGATGTTGCACTCGGTGGTGAAGTTGTTCCCTGGGAGCGACTGGCTCTCTGAGAGAGAGAGAGAGAGAGAGAGAGAGAGAGAGAGAGAGAGAGAGAGAGAGAGAGAGAGAGAGAGAGAGAGAGAGGAGAGAGAGGAGAGAGAGAGAGAGAGAGAGAGAGAGAGAGAGAGAGAGAGAGGAGGACAAGAAGACAGCGACATTAAAATCTCACTCTATAAAGACATTGAACAGGTGGCGGGATGCTGCATTGGAGCGATGCTCATCAACAGTCAACATGGAAGACCTTTATTATATCCATTCTCTAATGCTCGGAAGAAAATATTCAAGGCAATGGCTCTCTTTAAAAAGCTATATCTATCTGCTGGCAAATAAACAGAGGATGGTCTTATGAATACAAAAGCAGAGGATGTTGTTTCAGTGTTTACAGCATTGTGGGCATAACATAAAGAGCTGGGCACTATCTTAAATGGGGCAAATAGGGGACCAAACACTAAATAACACACACATATAAGCAAAGCCCTTATTTACGACTTGGACATAGATGCACAGATACACACAGACTTAAAAGAAAACGTAATCATCAGAGAGCATGTGCCCCGAGCTTGTTCCGGGCAGTCCTGGTTGACGCAGTGCAGCTGTGGTATAATGGGCTGGAATGTGAAACATGGCCTTTTGGCTGGGGTTTGACACTATGCAGTGGAGAGTTTAGCTCGTAAACAAAACTATAGGGCGGTAATGAGGAGTTCCGGACAGAGCAGGGGGGGGCACTTTCATGCTGCGGTGCTGAAACTGGGCTCAGCTGGTGTAGGCCACTTCATTATACGCAGGAGGAGTACCCGCTGCCAAGAGGTGTGGACCTGTACGTCTGAATTGACAGTGTGGTTAACCAGTAAATTGACTGATTGGGTTACTCTATAAACTATCTCCCTTTCTTACACTATTCCAATTTGGAAGAGCAGCGGTGTGAAAATGATAAAAGGTGCTACACTGAACAGTTACATCCATATTACCATTACTAACTGACCATTGAAACACTCTTCATAGGGATGTAAAGACATTAAATACAATGTACTATAACGCTGTTTAAGGAGAAGGTGCTTCTTCTGTTCTCTCAATATTTAAAAATAAACCAGATGAATGTGTTCACTTAGTGCAGGGTTTGTTTTCTCTATTTCATCATTACATTCTCGGCAAGGCAGTATTCATTACTGAGGGATCCATTGTACGACGGTAGAAATTGAGAGCAAGCTTTGACCTTTGAATGTTGTCTGAATTCATAACCAGAGCTCATGGTTCGCAGTTAGTTGATATTCACTGACTAGATGTAGCCCGTTCCCTCGGTACAGCTGAGTAACTGACACATAGATATCATTTGTTCTTACATCACCCCTCTCCTGCTTGTATCGCAGCAGGTTGTAGAAACAGTATGGAGTTTCTCTCTTGAATGAGACAGCACGACCCCTCTGATCCTCTGTGGGGATGATGCAAACCCCTCTTTTGTCTCTTGCAATAAACAGAAGGGGAAGTGAGTGATAAGTGATAAGTGAAAAGGCTCTTGTAATTTATGAGGACTTGAAAGCGGTCCAATTTCCATTTCTCTATGGTGGGAGGACACGCCAAATGGAAATGTTGATGAATTCATGCAATAAAAATTGTTATGCATAGAGATTGCTACCTTTTCAAAACAAATAGTAGACTGTTGGTGCCCGCTTCATAGTGTCGCCTGTGTGGTATAATATCTCAGTAAATAGAATAACACCAATCCCAATGGTTGCAGAGACCATTTCTTGTAGACAGCAATTTGCCACAGTGAGCCGGTTAGATATATAAACAGCCATTCAGGTATGTGTGAACACGACCAACTCTCAATTTTGTTTTATCTATCTGAGAAAACACCGCCGTTTCCCCTGGCTCTTCCCCTGGCTCTTCCCCTCCTATCCTTGTTTGTTCATTCCTTTTTGACAATGGGATTTACACAGAGCTGCACACTTCAGAGAGAAATGGAGGAAGAGGAACAATGACACAGTTACCACAGAAGTATACCTCTCATATACAAGGTAAATACTGCAAATTCAAAATGACTCTCCTTTTAAGCAGCTTTATAAGACTCATTTTTTATATTGTATGTAATGCAAGGCTTTTTCTTTCAAGATAAATGTATATAAAAGCTAATTTGGGGGTTTAAAAGTGTCAATATTTCTTAGTTATACTTTTTTTTTTTATATATCTAGAGGGTCCTTTTTACATTACATTTCATTGGCTGACACTTTTATCTAAAGAAACGTACAACATGTGCATTCACAATGAAGAGCTGGTGCATTCATTTGAAATAAGACAAACCATTTGAAGTAATACATCATACTTTTGATTGTTTTTATCAGCCAAGGTGCAGTCAAAACAGGTGGGTTTTAATTCAACACCGAAGATGTGCAGCCTTTTATGCAGAACAATGGCAGAGAAAATTGAAAAATATTTTTGCAAATTATTCACATTATTTCCTTTGAATATGTGCAAATTGCACAGTAGCGGCGAGATGCTATTTGCTGTGCTGCACCATTAGGAAGGCACTTCTCCCTTTTAAGGTGCTTTGACAATTAAACGGTTTCTTTTGGTCTTATTTAAGCAGCCTCAAAAGCGGTGCAATACTTGGGAATTTGCCTCAGATTCTTTAGAGTTAGGGCCACTCAATGTCAACATAACAAATAAACAAAAACATTTACATTTACATTCAGACCCACAAAGAACAAGGATAGGAGGAAGCCAGGTGGAGTCACTTCAAAGCGCCGGTGGTTCGAGAGGCATCAGGTTAATTGGAGAGTTGCTTTGAGAGTGATCGAGAAAGAGAGTGAGCAGAGAGAGGACACTATGTGCTGTATGAGTTTGGGAAACGGCTGAAATAATGAATAAAGAAGGTTAGCAGACAGCTCATCTTTTCCCATGAGTCTCTGACACCACCTATGGCAACTATTTGCAACACTTCTTGCATCCAGGAGTTCCTCAGCAGGCTCGAGACATCTTATTGCTTTACCTGTCATTCTATCATAGAGTATAGCGGTTCAACGTTGAGGTAACCAACATGCCCACCTCATTACCACAGTAAGTGTGGCTGCACAGCTCATTACAGACTGCTCTGTGAGCTTGTTAACAGAATAATAACGCACAAAGGTTCTCTGTGGGCACTGCAACACTCCCAAGGTCACCTAGATATCTTTAACGGACATGACAGTTTCTATGCACAGCGACTCACTCCTTCATATATGCGTTTAACTATTATGTTGACAATATCTCGGGGTATTCTGCACAGCTGCACAACACTGCTGTGTGCAACTGTGGTCACATGGTGGGTGTGTGAAGGAGAACTGGAGGAGATAAGGCAGGGATAACGCTGGACGTCTCTGTATCTTGCAGGGGGAAGTGTAGACCAATTACTCTGGGTAAATATTGACTCAACTATCCCTTCCTCTGCCTACCACCCATTCCCACCCGCTACCATGCCTGTGTCCACTAAGGCCCTATTTAGACTGTTTAACCTAGAGTGTAGAATCTTTCTGGGATCAGTTGGATACTTTAAGAACTAAAATGGGACTCGCCAGGGCCAGTGTTGCATTCACATGATCCTGAAAATGTTCCCAATTACCGAGTTTGGAAGAAGTTATTCCAACTTTGGTATGATCATGAACTGTAAATCGTAATGTGGAAACAAAATGGACTGTAAGATATTTTGTATTTTATATGTCAAAGCCTTTAAACAACATGATGAAAGCTGTTTACTAGCTGTTGTTGCAACTTGAGAGTCGATTCATGTGAATTTTCCAAATAGGGAACTATTTTTGACGGTTATTCTGACCACATAATTTGTGTATGTGCGCTTTGCTATCAGCTCTAAAATGTAATAGGTTCTTCCTTGGCCAGTGCAACAGCCTTCCACTAAGTTTAATGAAAATCCCATCAACAAAAATACCAATAAACAGACGATAATATGACCTCCTTGGCCGAGCTAATTAGCATTTACATCCTGCTTCTTCCAAGAAGTTTTACAGGCTCACTCAGGGTGAAATTCTTCCCCCTCTATCTTTATGCTCAGCTGCTGTTGCTGGTATTGTACGGTTTATAAAGTGCACCTCTCCTACCACAATTATAATTTAAAACAATAATTAACTCCCATCATAAATATGAGTCTACTTTCCTAGTGGCTCGGAAGAATACTAAAATGATATTTGTGACATTTTTAGCAATATTTTCTCAAGGCAAAAGCAGCCCTTACGCAATTTTTCCTCATCTCAAGTTGAGGAAGTGACATGCAATATAATTCTTATTATTTTCAGGACATAGGTTTGTTTGTGCATGCATGGACACGCGCGTCGTACACTTATGGCATCCTTCTAATTTAAAGCTATTTCACTGCTCAACAGTTGGTGGTGGTAATGCGCAGGTAAACGTGGTGGTGTGCCTGAAAATGCAACGAAGAGACTATAAGATAGAACATATTGATGGAAACAATCCAGAAATCATAATATTAAAATAAGTGGCTTTGCAAATGTTTGATGAGGAAGCAGTAGTTCAACGTGTTTATAAAGTGAGTAACATTAAAAACATGTTTACTAGAAAAACTCCTCAGGGTATCTTTATTCAAAACACTTATTTCTGGGTTAAAGCAATACATGTATTCTATCTCATCCCACATTAAATAAAATCATGAATTTGAAATGTTTGAGTATCTCCTGAGTATATGTTTTTGATATGTGTTTTAAAAACGTTATTCCTTTTTTTTGCATAATTGGGATTGAAAATATCTGTGTGCCCACAATCTTTTAAAAAGGGTTGTTAATTATTCAATATGTTTGACCACTGTTGCCTATTTACAAAAGCAAAACTCAAGCCAAAACATAAATGGCAAGCTTCCAAATCTTTTTTTCTATGATTTTCCTTGGGTGTACTTCAAACGTAATGATTCTGGAAATGGCAGCTTGGAGACTTCGGCACACCCAAAGCAATTCTCTGAATATGCAGACATGGAGCTCACGAGGCAGCCACACCCTCATGAATATT